TCAAATGGATACTCTTAAAATAATAAGAAGTAATTCTGAATGGATTTTCCAAGATCTTTTGAAGCATCTGCAATAGTAATGTTGCTTATACTTCTAYAGAATCCTGTCTTTTACAGGAGATTGTTTAATGTAGAGAAATTCCTACACACTTGTATCAGCATGAAGTCATTAACATAAGAACATATGCCACATTGGTTCAGACCCATCTTCTCTTCAGCAGTGGCTAGAAATCAATGCCCTGGGAAGAATAAGAACAGGGCAAGCATATGTAATACTTCCTCAGAGTCTTCTCCCAGCTGCCAGCTATTTTCAGGTCAGAGAACTTCCTGAGATTGATGCTGCCTGTCTCTTTAGTCTCCCTCAGTGAATCTCTCAAGTATTTGCTTGTCCAGTCTCCCCCTGAACACCAATATTTTCACAGCCTGAACGGTTCTGACAAGAAGTTCCATAGGTATACTAACAGAGGTCCATTAATGTAATTACTTTGCATCAACACCTGTCTTCTCCTTCTCCCCAAACTTCAGAATTCTATGACACAACAGAAAAATAAATACCACAGAATTTAAATAAATAAATAAATACCATGGAATAAAAATAAATACCATGGAATCTGTGATCTTGCTGCATGACATAGCTCCCCTTTTTGCAGAAAAGAGGTCGTAAGATTTCAGAAATTAAATGTGTCATTTCAAATACATCTTCCTTGAATTCTTCCACTCTTACTCCACACTGAAAATCAGAATAGAGGCCTGGGATCAAAAAACATCCAATAAATAGTGCAAAGGCTCTGTATATCAATCATGGTTTCTTAGACACTGTATATAATATAGTTCTATAYAAATCTGCTATCAAGATTTAATGAATTACAACATGTAACAAAGGAAGCAGGCATATGTCATTGCAGTTGATATCAAAATAACTCAATTTTTCACATTGACAGATCTAAGGAATCAATGATTATATGTTAAATTTCCTGAATACTTGTTTCTGTGGCAAAAAGGCAGTCATGCCAAAACATGAATTTTTCAAAGTGTTTTCCCTACATTGTTCTACAGAACACAGTTTCAGCTATATGGTGGTTTGAGGGGAAGTGGGGAGAGACACGATTATGATAAAACTTAAACAGAGCTCAAGRGTCTGCCTAATTAAGTTTCTTTGGAGCTTAACTAAGGATCGGTGGATTGGCTATTCCTCTCAAAGAACTATTACACTCCCCATATTGTACTCCCTCTCTGTGTAACACAGGTTAAATTCCATGTAGAGGAATAGCATTTGTTTTACAAAGCTGTTGCTACTTTCTTTTGGTGTCATTATCATCACAGGCTTTTTCTTCACAACATATTAAAAAGTATGTATTATATTTGGTACAACAGTTGCTATGTATGTTAACTGTTCCCACGCAAGYAGGGTTGTGTGTTCAATCACTGCTCCCTTTTCATGCAGGGTAACCTTTCTCCAGTGTAAGGAGTCTCCAGAAATCAATGACATCACTTATGGAAATAAAGAATGTTGCACTGGGTCCAACACCAGTTTGCAGGCAGTTTCTGCTAAAGTAGCTGTTTCTGAGAATGACTGTGTGCTCACAGTTGCATTTAAGGAAGTTCTTCAGCTGGAAGAACTGAAGAAGTTCAGTGGAAATTCCCAGTTAATATTAGTCATAAGACGTACTGAAGTACAAAACCACATTTCATAATCCTGTTGACAATCCTCCAGGCAACATAAAGATTTCCTATACTGTTACCAAAGAGATGAGAAAAGAAAATCCAAACTTTTTGTTCCTACTCTTAGCAAAGACAATGAGTAAATTACACTTATCAACTTCAACATTCAGATACACAGAAAAAGTATCAGACACTACTTTAATATTGCTTATAGCTCTATAAATCTGTATGTCTGCATTTTGATTAAATATATTTTAGTTTCTGGAACACAGGTTTTGTCTGTTACAGCCTATAGGCAAATTGCATACTAAGGTTTATACAGGCTCAGCAACTACTCATGATGTGGGAAAAAAAAATCAGCCTCACCTTCCTTCACGCTAAGGAATGATAACATTTGGTCTAAATTAATCCACAGTTCTCATTTTCTGACCAGGAAAAGCATTTCAAGATCAAACCACGCTTTTTATTTAGTTAAAGCAGCAACGGCCGATTAAAAGAACAGCGAAATACCACAGAATAGCAGAGACTCTTTCAGCACCCAGTACGCTCCTTTGGGATCAGAGTTTCTAAGTTCTGGAAAAGGTTTAACATCTGACGTGAGCCACCTAGTGTCTGAACGAATGGCTACATTAACAACTTGCAAGAAACATTTTAACCTCTTTCTATTAGAAGCCAATTTGCATTTATAAGTTTGTAAAATTACACAAAAGAATCAGATGAAACCCTTGATGAACTAYAGCCTTTTGCCAGCTGCTCCAGCACCAACCCCCACTGAAAGCAGTGAGTTCCTCCTGACACCTCAGGGCAGTGTAATCAACGAGTACAGTGTTAACACATCAGCACAGACCAAGGAAAATTCCTGTTAAAATAGATTTCAGGAGTAATGTCAAACAGCAAACTGCATTTAGATGATGTAAGGTACCTAAACAGGCCGCTTAGCCCACTGAGAACAAACCTGAATTTTCTCTCTGAAAAAAGTATCAACTTCCTAATTCCCAACCACCAAGAAAAAAAAAAGCCAAAAACCAAAAATAAAAAACACCACAAACCTCTCCAACAACAACAACAAAAAAACCCACTCTAAGTTTCTAAGCATAAGTAGTCAAAATAAGACTTTCTCTGACTCTGAAGACAAAGTGAAATAAAATAGTAAAAACAAAAAGCTCTTCAGGGCTACTACCAAACACGAGACAAGGGTTTGCAACTGTTTTTAAGATTAGTAGACTCCAAAAATCCTAAATAATTTTWAAATACACTGATATATGCTTCTTTCCAGCTACCTTGTGAGAACTACATACAGGAAAGCAATCCTGCCTTGACAATGACATAAAAGTGTGAAATATTGATGTGGGACAGAAATATAGAAAGTTGTGCCTGGAATAGCTGTAGGGAAGGGAATAAAGTGACAGAAGAGGAGGAAGMAGAAAAACAAATAAAAAGAAAGCAAGATGAGCAAGAAAAGAAAAAAAATAATTGACTGTAAAGCAGAAAGCACTCTAAAATATCAAAGTCAGAGATCAAGTTAGCTATGAAATAGAGGTTTGGTATTATTTCCATGGGTATTTTTCTTCTATTTAATTTATTCAAAGGTTGGAGGTCTCTAAGAATATCAAGATGGGTTACTGTAAAACTTGCAACATACACCTTATTGTATTGCGGGAGGCAATAAATAATGAAGATAGAGGAAAGAACAGCTTCTCTCATGCTTTACTATGAAAGAATATTACTGACAAAGCAGCAAGAGATTCAYGTACGTGAAAAGTCATGTTTGTTGATGGTTGCCAGTTTCGCTTTGCTGAGTTGGGAGACCTTCACAGCAAATTTGCRTTAAGTGCATTTCCAGAATTTAATGAACAATTTTTTTCCCTAAAACAACTAACATGTAATTATAGTGTTTCAGAGGTGGTTTACATGTTATGAGTCTATTTGAATTCAGGTAGCCATAATGTTAGTTGATGCATGCTCATCATCAGATAAACACCCACTTGTACTTTTCTGCACATTATCCCTTTTTAAATATAGCATCAGTTAAATTATATTGCATGTTATATCTGAATATCTGAATTTAAGAAATGCAGGTTTTATATCAGCTGAGATATCCATTATAATTTTAAGTGCATCTACCTGCCAAAACTTAATAAAAATGTAACATGTAGAGTTAAAAAAAAAAAATGTCCTTTTTGCCTGCACCCTATTTTATATTTTTTAAACTGGATTGAATGAAACTTTAACTTGGATGTTTTAAACACTGTCTCTGAAAAAGGAAATTGAATGCCCCTTTCTTGGAAACATGCTGAAAGAGCAAACTCTCTCGGAACCTTAATAGCTCACTAGGACCTCACCTGAAGTCCTTAAATGCGGCCAAACAGGAACTATCTTTACAGGCTCATTAAGCTGTCTGCCTGTAAGTCTCTTTAGCCTCAGTAGGGGCCAGAACAGACCAAAAGAGTTGCTACAGACATAGCAGGAAAGATAAATTATAATGGAAATAATATTCAAAGTAATACACAGAGCAACACCTGGCTACTTCTTCTGTGGCTATGTTTGAACTCAGTCCTCAGGCTTCCAAGGGCAGGCACCCGGGGAAGGTAGGTTATGACAGCTGGAATGCAAGTTCTGATCTGTGATTGGGAAAGGGAAAAGCTGTGCCCTAACAGCAGAAACACCACAGCTTGTTCACTGGGGTTCAGAAATGGCCGAGATTAATTCAAAATCTGTAGTGCTTCTCTGCTGCTGGCTCCGTGACGGTATCCTGGGCATGTATGTAATAAACGCCTCATGTTCTCCCATCAGCTCCCATCCTCCTACACACCTTCAGGAAAAAAAGTTGTACTTACACATGTGACCTAAAGAGAGAACGGCTTGTAGCAGGAGGAAAATTAAAACCGTGTGTTTCCATTTCATTCCTACCTATAAAATTCATTGCCTGCATGGAATAAATGCAGGGGGTGGGGGGGAAGGCCACTGTAGTAACCTACAACAGACCCTTCRGAAAGAAACTACCCTGAGCATGGAAAGCATATAACAAATGTAACTATTGTTATTTACAAATCACTCTAAGTCATGGAAAGGCAGAAATAGGAGAGGGCTGTGGAAGTCGGGAGCAGCACAAATTCTGCGTCARGGGTTTTCTGCAGCCAGACAGAAGAGGCACTGCACGACAGCCGGAGCCGAGCGGACAGGCTCCCATCCTTGTGCGGGATGGGGAGGACAAGAAAGGTGCCATTCTTGCTACCACCCGGCTCCTGCGCTCCGGCGGCCGCTGCCCTGCCCTGCCCTGCCCTGCCCCGACCCGCGGCCGGCGCGGGCAGCGCCCCGTCACAGGGCGGGGAGAGAGAGGCACGGCAGGAAGTCGGTTCTGGTTCCTGGGTTAAGGCGCTCGGGCAGCAGCGAGCGCCCTGTGCCGGGAGCGGCCGCGGGCTCCGTGAGGCGCTCGTAAGTCTGCGTGGCTTTGGAAGCCAGGCGCTCCTCGCCCTCCCCCGGGAGCGGCGGGGCTCGGCCCGGGGCCGCAGTGCGGGCCGTGCGCTCCCGGRCCGCGCTTCCGCCCCCGCTCCCGGGGCTGCCGCTGCCCCCGGGTGCCGCTGCCCCCTCGGCCCGGCTCGGGAGCGGGGCCGGGGGCGAGCCTTTTGCGTGCGGAGGCGCTCCGGGAGCGGGGAAGCGGGGGACGGGATGAGCGGGAKCGCTGCCGGCAGGGATGGCCCGGGCGGCGAGCGCAGGAGCAGGAAGAGGCGGCTGCCCCGGGCGGGGGGAGCAAACCCCAGCGCTCCGGGAATCACCGGCCCGAGCCCTGAGCGCACACGGGCTGCCCGCTGTAACGCTCCTGCTGGGTTAACGACGCATCCCGCAGTCGGGCAAAGCAGGAATTGTGTCTACTCAGACAAAATAAGGGGAAAAAACGAAACAGAAAGTTCAGTGAGTTCTCAGTCTCTCACAAATTATTACCTCAACAGGTTCCCAGTTCTCAAGATGATGGTTGTGTAACTTACAAAATATTTCAATCGAAAAATCTGTTTTGAAAGCAGAAACATGTAGAGAAGTACGGCAGCTGGATGGCACCTATGTTCTCATCTCTCATATGAGCCTATGAGAGGTAGGAGTGTGTATTATGAATTAATTTGTATGTACACACGATTAGATAAAACCATTTTTTTAAATATAATTCAAGGTGTTTTCTGAGGCAATATGAAAACTAGTACGAAAACTCTGTTGAGCTGTGGAGCTTGGATTGCAGCAGAAATATGTTGCTAATCTTTGTGTTGGAGCTTTTTTGGCATTGACTCAGAAAATGCATATTGCTGTTTCTTTCTTTTTTCCCCCCACCTATGCAAAATGTTTCTGATTTGAAGCAAGTATTTTAAGATCAGCTGCAGGTTTCACTCAGTTTATTTACCTAAAAGTTTGTCTTACAACATTTGCTGTACCCAATGGTTATCCAGTGGGTATCAAGTCTTTACTCCAGTATGAAATTCCAGTACTCATTGCCGTAGCTCCAGCAACRCAGCACTCACAGGTATTCACATTTGCAGGACAACCTCTGGAACTAATCTCTTCCTCTAATTCTGTCCCTGTTAGAACAAATGCAGCATTTTATAATGCTGCATCTCTATYTCTGCTGACTACATTTGATGTTAATGATTGTGAAAGTCTTTGGGATCTAATGAATATCCAGAATGTAAGTTGCTAAGGATGAGGATTGTTAGCTTTGGGCTGAATTATGTTCCAGTTGCTGTTTGGATACAGCGTAACTAAGCATAGCTGATTAAAATAGCAGGGATATTTGGGTTGGGGTTTTTTGGTTTTGGGGGGGKTTTTTTAGGGCTGTTGAGAGGGTTTTTTTCCTCCACGTTGGATGCAGGGAGAAGGGTAAATGACAAGGAACAGTTGGCAAATTCCCTGATAAATATTGATGCCTATGGAGGAGAAGCAGGAAAATGAGCCAGTTTTTCTAACTGCAAGGAGTTCTGGATATGAGACAGATAACATAAGAAGCAGTTATTTATTCCAGCAGCAGGCAATCCGGGGTGTGACTACAGAGTAGTTTAATCCAATCTAAATGTAGACTGCGGCAGTCCTGCCCACGGCTAGTCGCATGTTCCCACTGCCTCCTTGTGCTGGTAGTAGTGCTCCAGCAGCTAGCTCCAGTTTTAATTTCGAGGCTGGTTTTTTTAGGGGGTTGGTTGTTACTTTTTTGAGGAAGTAGGGAGCTACTTTGGCATACTCAACTGCGTAGCATAGAAGTACTAATAGTGGTACCAGCAAGCGGCAAAAATACACGGCCAGAGATGGGGGAAGGCCGGCCTGTCCTTCTCAGTGGCAGTGGAGACTTGTGATACWGTTACATAACTGTGACTTCATGTTACAATTCAAAGCCAGTACTGCTGTTGAACGCACAAGTTCTCCCTATTGCTGATGTTTCCTGTTCCTGTGCAGGCTCCCTTGTGTTATCATGCCATCTGAAGTGGTCTGTGGATCTGATCTGCATTAAAACTAATGCAGCAAAAGTACATTTAGTATTTAGTTTTAAACTGGAGTGGTTTGCTGATAGGGTTTACGGTAAGAAAGCATCAGWGAAAGTCAGTACTAGTGGCAATTTAAGATGGCACTGTATAGCTAGAAGAACTTGTCCTATATTTGCCCCATACCCTAGACATTCATTTCTTCTTTGACCTTACCCTTCCCTTTCTTCCAGCACAAGCAACCTTACTGTAAACCGCATCAGCAAACCAATCCAGTTTAAAACTAAATACTAAATGTACTTTTGCTGCATTAGTTTTGCATGGAGTCTGAATTTTRAGGAGCTACCAGTAAACTGTTTCTCCGTACCAAGTAGGAAGTCAGGCACAGTGCTACAGTTCTGCTGTTGGATCAATTAATTTTGATACCATCAGTCCAGATGACAGCAGTACTCTTTGTTAATGTTCCTAGTCTCAATGAATGAGTAAAAGGCTGGAAATTAGGTATAAATTTTAAATACTGGTTTTCAAATGGAGGTTTGAATTTGCATGAATGAAATTAAAGCCTTCATTTTCTGTGAACTGTGAGTCAAATAGAGCTAAGCCCTATTTCCTCCATTAGAAGCTTAAGATAGTTTCTTAAGTTGCACTCACTTAAGTTTCCTATTGCATTCATTTTTCGAAGTTACCTTTTATGTATACAGGAACTGCCACTTACTACATAAATTGTTAAGAGTGGAGAGTTTCAGAAGAGTGCAAAATCAATACTGGTGCAAACTTTGCAAGCTTTTAAAGAATATGAGAATACCCTTTTATTAATTTTCAATTATAACAATGCCCTCTGCAGTTTAGCATCTGTCCCTAAAGGCAGATGTAATATCTGATTTTATTCACTGAACTACATAGAACAGTCCTTCATTTGAAACTGAAAGGAAGCCTACCCATTTAGTTAAAGGTTCATCCCAGGTATSAGAATGAGTATTCCATTTAGTGAAGGGATACTGTTTGGGGAAGGAAGGAGCTGGATGAAGTAGCCTGTGTTACTAACAATGWTTTGAAACAGTATGCACTGACTGAGATTATAAACTACTGAACTTAGTTTAGAAAAACAAAACAAGTAAAAGAAAAAAAACAAAAAACAAAGAAAGCCTTTTATACAAAACTTATAACCTTGGAATTCAGAAATGCTTGTCACATCAAAGGATCCCTAAAAGATTCCAAGTTGCTAAAGAATTCRCTTTGCCACTATTAAAGTACAGCCATGCTGGACTTAAGGTACTCTCACTTTTTCTCACTGTGGGAACACATCAGTAAAATAAAGTTTGCAGGACAAAAATTAAAATTGTCCATACAATAGTCTGTTGAACCTTCTAGAAAAGTCAGGCCACATTTCTGTATTCAAGCCCTATGATAGAGAAGATATTCAAAAGCAATAAAACATTAACAAAATCTTCAAGCTTCAATCTTCACAATTTTGAGCAGGGTCCAAGGCAAGTTACCCTCATACTCTTCTTGCTTGTTTTTTTTTTCATGTGGCTGCACTACTTTCTTTAATAGTATTTGTGGTTCATGCATAATCCCARAAGATTGTGAGAAATGACAGTGGTAATCCACCCTGCTTTAAATACCAGGAGAGACGAAATTACTAATTTTTTTTCTTAATGATCATTTCTTTTTGGGGGGGTGAGACTTCACTAACATGTTCTCTGCTGTATTTATGCAAAATTTTGATCTTAAAATTAATATATTACTGTAGAAGTAAATTACCTGTGTTTGCAAAGTTCTTGGAATTGGAGTCTGTGACATTTAATAGTGTTGTAGTCTTAYGTGTCAAAGTTCATGAGCTGTAGTTTTGGGAGTTGTTACTGAAATTGTACACGAAGTGTAAAAAGTTCATAATATTGTGTGAAAAAGTCCAATTCTTTATAATTCGTACTGGTTGGTATTACTGATTTTTAGATACAAGATGTTTTAACTCACCTTGTAAGGTAGCTTGTGKTGACATTTTCCAATTTGGCACAGATTAGGATAAGTTTGTGTGACCTGAGTYTTTATCTTTTTATTTCTTAATGCTGATAGATGTGTGCKAAYGTCTTTACAAAGAATTCCATGGGTGAAAGTATGGRTGTTAACATCTTTGAAATGTATTTTAGTGTCTCTACCAGCTTCAAGATGCTGRTTCATTACAGAGTCCAGACAACTTGACTCCTGAAGTAGAAAAATGGGTCCTCACAAGCCTGAGTTTCTGAACTTTGGGGGAAAATGACAGGGTTGGGGTGGGGGGAATATGTGATAGGCACTTCAGGAAGGCTGTACTTTCCYAGTACCTCAGCCAATGGGGAAAGGAAGAAGRCAACTTCTTCCAGGAGTTCTTCTATCCAGGAGTTCAGGATAAAAGGAGGCTGSATCCTCCAAAACCTTGAGAGRGAAAACCCCAGGGGTGCATGTCCCAGTGRACTTYCTTCCTTTATTCAAGTTACASAWTTCCTCTGTCTCCTTCATGGACACAGGCTTTTCAGAGTGTCATTTTTCCACACAATGCCAAAAGCTGAGTTTAGTTTTGTTTATTACTGCTGTCTTGATTTCACAGCAAACATTAAACTTTGGGAGATCACATAAAATCAGGTAACTGGTGATCTGCGCCAATTTTAAGTGTTAGTCTTAAACACTGTAACTACACAYACATTTTCACATTCTATRCATCCAGAATTTGATTCAGAGTTAMGCTGCTTTTGTTTGTCTTTTGTTTAAACCTATCCCTGGAAATAAAATAAMAGGTTGAGGTGAGCAGAGCTATAGTTCAAGCTATGATGTTAATGGTTAATGGTCAAGAGTTAATGGTCAAACATACTGCAAGTATAACTTGAAAACAGTAGTGGTACATGACTTGGTGGTACATGTTTTCACTTACMTACGACTGTTTCTTCGTTTTCTCTCGTTTTCCTTGTGATTACTTTTCAGATCTGTTAACTTGACCATCTTTCCAGTGATGAAACAACATTGGGAATTATGGACAAAAACATTGGTGAGCAGCTTAACAAAGCTTAYGAAGCCTATCGACAAGCGTGCATGGATAGGGACCATGCTGTGAAAGAACTACAGCAAAAAGTAAGTGTTGGGATCTGAATTCTATCTTTAAAGCCATCCTTGCCATTGAGGATGGTAGTACATAAAGATACCAGTTTCACTGTAGCTATGCACACTTTAGTGCATCTGTTAAAGTTGGAAATGGCCATTATGAAACCATGCCGGTACACTGCTAAGTAATTCATTAAGCTTTGAATTTAGCAGAGTTGTACTAAATTGAAACAACAACTGAACAAACTGGGTTTCTGGTTTTTGACCTTGAATTTTTGGGGGTTTTAAAAGTTGGAAAAGTGTTGTCTGTTTTGGAGGATTAATGAAGTCTTCTAATGTAAACAGCAAAATATGTATAAAATTTACCTAACTTTAATGAAGTACTTTTTGAAATTTAATTTTCATTCTTAAAAATTAATTTGTATATTATTAATATAAWTAGCTTAAATTAAACCATTTTTTTGAAAAAAGTACCTGAAGTTGCTACAATAAGTATTCCTCTTTTAAAAATAATAGCCTGTACATTTATTCTTTAATTGTGAAGTAACAGATTCTGGAGGCATTCTGACCAGTGAGAAACAGTTTTGAATTTTTGCTTAGTCTGTTGCAGAAAACATTAGTTCAGTCAAAACTCCTCTAGAACTTCTCRAGTAGGACAGCATACTGCAAAGCTATCAGGTTTGGCCTTTGTCGTCATCATTTTATTATACATATTCTGCCCAGCAATGGAGCTTCTGTTACAGGAAGGCTTGAATGTTTCTGGTGTTACAGGACTTTATGATTCTTASTAGAACTGGTAGGGTGGACTTTGTTCGGGGCCCGATGGACCATAATCTGTGTGAAGTTATGGAGCAGTAGTAGACTGGAAGCAGGGAAGGATCTAAGAGAAAATATTCTGATACCTGGGACCAATATTGCCATCTCCTTGTATGGCAAAATAAACTAGCCAAGGCATCATAGAACACATTGCAGCCAGTCATGTGTGCAATCATCCTCTGTAGAGTCTGTCTCTATTCATAGTCTTGCAGCAGTGCTGGTGTAAATCTGTAGAGGTTTCTATACATAACAAGCATAARTAGTGTGATTTTGTGCTGAAATTGCAACTAATTAACAAAAGGCAAGACATTTTGGAATGTTTAGGGATCTTTTAAAATCTATCTCTTAGGATGAACTATTAACTATTTGAAGGAAAGCCAATTGAGTTAATACTCCTGAGTCATCTAAAAGTACGTGAAAGGATCTTTGACCAAGAAACAAGGCATCAAGTACAAGACCAGACAGTCCTTCTAAAGTCTGTGCAAGACAACCAGAAAAGTGTGAGATCATCAGTAYTAAGTGAACTAAATGCTTGCAAGATTGGTCTCTGCATTTTCACTGGCTCAGAAATAAAAAATTTTAAGCCTTTGATAAAGGATTACTACCAGTCCTAATTAAACTTTCTGTAGTTGATTTTTATGATTTCAAGAGAACAAAAGTATTTTTTCAAGAAGAGTTGATACTAAAATTACTTGGGTTTTTTCATTTGTGTTGCTTTTTTTTTTTTAACCAAACTTCTGGTTTTTGAATGACCTTTGTACAGTGCTTTACTCTAGTAACTTACTCTGTTCATTGTGTGGCCTCCACACACTGTTGGATTGTCCACCATGCTGTTGTTAACAGTTTACTACTTAAGTTACCGATAGGCCACTTGTTTTGCCAGTCTCTAGAGCTGGGAGCCATGTCAAGCACACAGAAGCCAGAGTCATCTCGGCCAGATGGTGTTTGATACAGATGGATGGTTGGTTGTCATGCAGATCTTCTAGTTGGTAACTTGTTGCTGCCATCTGACTCAAGGAATAATTTGTGCACACTGGCTGTCAAAAGCATCTTCTCTTCTGTCTGTTTTAGCTGTCATGTCTGTGCTCTGTACAGAAGTGTTGACAAGACATTGCTGTTGTACATTTTCAATTTGGTTCTCAGTGATTTTTCTGCTTCATGAGGTCTCTTATAGCTGCTGGAGTGTACTGCTCTTTGATCACTTTTTTTTTTTAAACCCAACAAAAAAAACCCTCTCATAGTACAACTACTACCTGGTCTTTTAAAATAAATTTTGTTTGTAGATTTTTTTCCTGCCTGCTTTACAAACAAACATAGTGGGCAGTAGGAGGGTATGGAATTTAAATGTGGCTGAAATTTGAGAAGTAGATAGCACTATGGATAAACTATGAATAGACATTAAACCAATGCTAAGTGTTGTTCCAGATGGTGACAGGTGGTGACCTGTTCAGTAATAGACATATTCCTAATTTCAGAAAAAAWCAGTGCATTCCTGAAAGTTTTCCTGTTGGGATTTCACAAGTTTTCTTGCTTGTTCTTAGCAGTGCTGTAACTGCAGCATTAGGCACRTGCTAATGAAATAATAGTTTTGAATATTAGCATCTCCCTGCCGCCTGGCCATTCATTCAGTTARTGGACTGTCTAGCAAAATTTATACAGTTTGGTGAAATACAAGCAGTATTATTAGAGGCATCTGTGTGGCCTTTTTATAGCATGCGTTGTAGTTTTGGAGACTAAGGATGGGGCTTTTTGCTTACCTTCCTCCCCTGCCCCATTATGTAGGTTAGAAAAACAAGTCCACTACATTCAAAGAAACACAGGCAGTCAAAATTATTTACAGAATATCTGTTATATGGAATAAACAATGTTATTGTTTTCCATTTAAAATCTGTCTTTTTAAAAGCCTATTTTTATATAATTTGTTAGAAAATACACGGGGGGAATTTACTTCTTTCTATAGATAAGCTAACTGACAAACATTCCGAAGAATAGTAAAATTTTAATTTTAAGCCTGATGTATTCTACATCTGTAAATGAAGAATCCTAACTTCAGAATTACCCTTTAYGACTGCCACATCTGAAACAGTTATTAAAACTCAGGTTTACTTCCTGTAATACCTTTTCTAATCAATACCGTCCCAAAAAGATGGACTTGCCAAAGGTTTTTACATAGAGGACACAACCACAGTTATCTTTAAAAATCAGAGCTGCTTTTTATATGCCAAATAGGAGACCCCTAGTCAAAACAGAGTAAGATTAATGCTAATTAAATTATATTTGCAGACAGAAAACTACATGCAGCAAATACGTGAACAGCAGGAAAAGATAGAGCTTCAAAACAGCATTATTGCAAAACTGAAATCACAGTTGGCTGCTCTGAATGCTAATAGAGGTATGTACTCCAGTTTGCACATTATTGCTTTTTATGCTGTGTTGCACTGATGAATAGTTCTGACTTTGTTGCTTCAGTTTTTACAATATACATATTTCAAATGGGTATCATACTTTCCTGTGAATGTGAGAGTTAACACAAATGTGCCGTTTCAAGATCTATTTATAAAATCCAACACTTCTGGGGTCTCTCTTTATCCTCTTCAAGAAATGGTGAGATTTTCTTCAGAGGTAGAACCTGCTTACACTGAAGGCAATAAAAGTTACAAAAATAGGGGTTCAAATCATTCATTAGAGTTCTAAAAATTGTCACATAATTTTACACTTATGTGTTAATCAGTTTATCTTGGGTTGTTCTAGATGCGAGTGCTATGATTATATGTCTTTTATATGAGATAAGTCTTGTGATGTTAATTTTATTGCATAACCAGAGCTTTATAAGCAGGTAATTCTCTTTCAAATCAAATAGTCATTGATGGATAATTTTTCACTGTTTTACTGTATTACACAAATAAGAGAAAAGAGTCAAAGTAACCATGTGTTAATCTGCCATGCTCATTAAATATTTATTCACACTACCCTAACACTCCTGGTTTCCATAAATACTAGCAAAGTGGCTGACTTTTATTTTTAAGAGTACATGTACATTTCTTTAATGCCGATTTAGTCTTGCATTGTCTCTAAGCACAGAATTTGGCTTCTCTTGTTTGTTTAATATGAAGGCTTGTCAAAGAACATAAAGGAATTAATGTAAGTCTAGCTTCTTTTAATTTTGCCTGTACTTAGAAGCTGGCTGAGAAAAATGCAGCGAAAGTCAGTTGCTTTTTTTTCTTTAATTGAAGGCAATGCGCATCCTTACATTCTGATGCATGAAGACATTGAAACATCCAACTTACTTTTCAGCCAGCTCTCTGAAAAACTGAACGTAGCAAAGCAAAAAGAAAAACTCCTAAAGGTATGTCACCTGTAGTATGTTTAACRTAAGTTTACTTTTGTGCTGTGATTATACTGTGAGAACCTAAAAGATAAGTGAGATTTTTACTGRTGCCTTTGAACTGCATGTGAGTGCAGCTGTTTAGGTGCACTAAGCATTATCTTTGGTCCTCAGTGAAATCTCTGTTTGGCCATCAAGCTCCCTAGAACAGTTTTGATCATAAAGCAGGAACTTAGTTGCTTATTTATTACTTAACTTGCCGAAACCCAAAAAAGGGCYTTTTCTTTCTTACAAGAGCATTTCACATTGCAAACCGTCTCTGTATTTTTGCAAGAAATGGAGAATATGCACTCAAAAAGTGGTGGAGTGGGAAGTGAATGATCCATTGCTCCAGAGATGCTGATTTGTTTGGGGTATTTAAATAGTTAGTGTTAAGATGATGGCTCTTTTGCCTCTCCTCACTGAAGTAACATTAAGATTTTCACTACAGCCTATTGAGTACAACAGRAATATGAGTAAAGTAATAGCACAGTAGAGCTGGGAAATGCTTTGAATGGATTTTACATATTGARAAAAGATGGTGACAGAGATGCACAAAGTTGTGTTGTTCTTATCGTACATCATCTCGCTGTGGTTTTTGAGAACTGTCTTGTAAAATGAAGTCTCTTATTTYTGAATGTGAATCTCCATAGCTCCACAGCAGAGACTCTCTAAGGGTTGTAAAAAGACCCTTCTGAGAAATCAGGCATTTGAATTAAAAASAATCAATTTCAGGATTTATTTCCTAAGCTACAAACAAATTAATTATACTAAATTCACAGAAACACATTTTTAATCAGAAATGTTAATTGAAAAGTAATTTCATTGATTACTGGTGCTTCCTTAATTATCCTGAAGGAATCTTATATGAGGCTAAGCCTTTGCAAAGGTTTTAAACATATTGTCAGCAAGTATTTAAATATACTCCTTTTCTATTTAAAAGGAAGTCTTTATATAACTTTTCTACACTGGAATCTGTAATCATAAGATRTCATTTCTTTCCTAATCTTTGCACTTACTTAGATTAAAACACATCTGAAGGGTTAATTCTTTGACGGAACATTTTTGCATATTTTTGCATTTCACTGTCTTGAGGTGGATAAAAATTATGTCTTAGAGTTGCACATGAAGATCTGACCAAGTCTAATATTTCATACTCTTGTTTTTGAATGCTTACTAAAGAAGGCAACTTAGGCATATAATGAGTAAGAAATGAAAGGAAGCTGTGTTATCTGCTCTTCTCATGGGGAAACACTGAAATTATGTGATCTGTACAGGATATTATAGACAATGCATGAGGAGCTGGAATCATTATTTCAGCTATTTTCCTAATGGAATGTAGGCTATTTTCTTTATCTGCATATTTGCTTTGTGTAGCCAATAACTGCAGTTACCTCTGAGCAACAGGTATTTCATCTAGATTTTGCTTCTTCTTTTCCATGAACAGAAATATTTTTACAATACCTCCACGTAGAATCAACTATATAAGTCTGTCTGCATCCAAACCCAGGCACATTGCTGTTCAAATAAGGTCTTTTTAGAGGGGATGTGTAGAGATTTAAACCTGTGCAAAGTTGGGTTGACCCAGTCTACAATATGTAAGTGTTACTGGGAAATAGCATGGATCTTGTGGAAAACATGTTTGACTGGATAAAGGTTGCCTTCTGCAGAGGCAAGTGGTATTTGCACCATCCCTCCAATGCAAGGAAGACCCTCACGTTTGGTATGGTGTCCAGTAAACTTGCACGAAGCTGGCAAGGGTGATACAGAATATCCAGATAGCACAGCAGAGGCACACACACTYCTATTAGCTCTGGCTGCATCTTGGCCGTGCCATTCATGGCTGTGAGTGAAGATATACAGCAGGCTCTCTACACAAGTTCTCAWTTTATTGAATTAAAAAACCCATGGTAGTCAGCCAGTGGAATTYACGCTTCAAGGGAAAAATTGGAGAATTCCAACATCTGTTGAGTGTTAATAAATACATAGAAACTATTGCAATAAAGATCTGGGAATTTACTAACGGATGTGTCATGAATGTCTCCTGTTTTCTTGTACTTTTTTTTTCCCCAGACATCATATTTTTACATCTCTTTACACTGAAAATCCATCATCCTATCACTAACCTACTATAGTTTTCTTGTACCTAGTTCAATAAAGTATTAGCTTTTTCAGGTATTGAAATTTGAAGTTCAAATATTCTACTTGAAAGCCTGTATTTTTCTAATAATATTCAATTTAAACTCTGGTCTAAACCAATTAAATTATTCCTACAGCCATTATCCTCTACAGTGTCCTTGAAACTCGGTGTCTCTCCCATGGCTGGAGGTGCCTGGGTTTGTTGATATGATTTGAAACTGTCATTTGTGAAATCCAATKGGATTTTTCAGTGGACTGTATTCTGTCCTGCAGTAAAGTTAATAAAAATCTTGAGTTGATTGTAATAGGTGCATGATAAGTGCTTAAATTTCAGAGATTTAAAATGAGCGAGGGGCTATCTTTTCTATGTTTTCTAGTAGGTGACCATACTTGTGTATTTAATATGCTGCTTTCAAGTTCTGTTGCCTGTGTGTYGTAAAATGCTTTAGAGTAGTTTTTGTTCACATTTATCTTCACTGAAAGAGGTGAGTGGACCACATTGTCTTGGTGGGCAGTACCAAACTATATACAAGATCACCAGAATTTTTCAGCCCKCTGCTTGAGAAAACCAAAGCACCCTATATTGTTGCCTGGTTTTGAGACCCTGGCTAAACTTCATTAAGTAGGAAGAATTTGGATCCAGCTACTGTCTCAGAGCCAAAGCTGTGCAGCAAACAGAAAACTTTAGAAACGAGATAGTGTCCAGCTTCTACTTTTTAGTACASTCAGACATCAGAATCATTGTAAACTTATTAAGACATGAAGCTAAAGTCAACACCTGTGACAAGAAAACATGCTYGTGATCCCATTTTGCTGTTTCAAGAATCTCAGTGTTAAACACTGAGTGGAATTTGTTTATTCAGAGTGTCTTGTGCCATGAAAACAGGGAGGAAGCTGTGTCAGGAAGGAATAATGCAACATTTGTTATACAAAACTGTTCATCTTGCAATTAATGTTTAGGTCTTTTTTTTTTTTTTTGTGCAGGACATAAACAGAGGAAGGACAGATGTATGTTCTAAATTATGGTCCTAAAATTACTTGTATAACTAAGAGCAGCTACTGCAGCAGTCTTGTAGAGCTGCATGTTCCAGTCCATACAAGCTTCTCTAGTGTCACTTTGTTTCCTGTCCTTAATGCAAAGAAAACTGTACTGGATTTTTTGCTGGCTAATAAGATTGTGCATTTAGCTGTTCTTTGCTGCTGGTATGAGGTATGCAGTAGGATTAGGTCCTAATATATAAGAAATTCTGGTATTGGTAGCCTTTTCTCCTATTGCTTCATCTGTTTAATCTAGCTTTACCCAATAATAGAGAAGAGTTTGTGGGGAAACTGTTAAAAGTCACAGTTAATATTCCTTTAGACCACTTATAGTTCATCAGTTGAATTGTGTTTTTCCTTGAAACCACCTGACCATTTGTTTTAAGAAGCCATGAAACAGGCCATTATAGCACAGTTCAGGGGAAAATTAAAGGACCTGCCTTTGCTGCAGTAMGGTCTGGGGACTGACTGGCTGTGGAGCRGCTCTGCTGGAAAGGAGCTGGGATCTTGTTAGACAGCAAGCTGAGCATGAGCCAGCAGCGTGTCCTGACAGAAAAGAAGGGCAACAGCTTCCTGTGTTATCTTCACAGGAGCACAGCTAGCACAGCCAGGGAAGTGAGTATTTCCCTCTGTTCAGCATTCACCAGGCTGCGTCTACTACACTGGATAGTACATTGCATGTAATACATTTCCAGTACAGGAAAAACATTGTCAAACCACAGTGGGTTCAGCAGAAGCCCCACTGAGATTACTGGGGACTTGAGTACATATCCCATGAGAACCTGCACTTGCCCAGTCTGGAGAAGAGGTGGCTTCAGGGGAAGCTAACAGCATTCTGGTACCTACATTCAGGTTATCAGGGAGATAAAGCCAGGCTCTTAAGGGTGGTGCATGGCAAGAGGATAAAAGACAATGGGCAGATGAAACAGGAAAGACTGAACATAGGGGGAAACGCTTCACTATGAGRACAGCCAGGCATTGGAAAAGGTTGCCCAGAGAAGTTGTGCAGCCTTCATCCTTGGGAAATTCAAGACCAAACTGAGTAACCTGATCAGACATCATAACTGACCCTGATTTGATTAGAGGCTGGAGAACACTTGAAGTCCCTTCCACCTTCAGTTGTTCTCTGATCCTATAAATCCTCTGCAAAGGAAAGATACTGATTTGTTCATAATAGATATGTAACCACTTTTCTGGCAGCTAATACCAGCATGCTTAAAAGAGTGCATTGTRTTGCCAGGTGCTTAACTGAGCAGGTATGACCTGTGTGACATATTTATGAAGTTTTTAAAGTTTACAAACTTCAGCCAGTTTATAAGGATTAGTATATCATTGCAGACCACCAGACACAGTACTGGAAACTCCTAAGATCAAGCTGTGAAGGGTTTTACTACTGAAATACCCCAAATGGTGTAATTTTTTCTCCAGTGCTTTTCCTGGTATCCTGATGGTGCACAAGAATGATGATTTCCATCAGTATATGGAAATTATGTCTTTTTGCAACATGTTGCATAGCTCTTCCAATGTGTTTTTTTTTCTCTGCTTGCTTAAATTTTGTCCTCACATCCTGCAGATGTGGGAGAAGTGGAAGAGAACTACTGGCCATTACTGCAGTGCCTTCAGATTATTTGAAGGCTTTCGAAAGCCAATATGTGAATTGGARCTGTAATAGTCTCAAAGAGATAAATTATGCTATATCACAGGCTCAGTGAGTTATTTTACYGTCTTTAACATACAATTGTTCTTCAAGGACAAATGCTGTCTTTGATGAAAGCTTTTTCCTAGGTGTTTGGATTTCCAGCAAATAATGATGAAGGAAAATACAGGATAAGCTGTATCCCCTTGGCTTTTTTTAAATGGGAAATTGAATTTGACCTGCCAGAAAAGCGAAGCATAGAAGGGTTAGGATTAAGGAGTTTTGCTGAGATTGAAACATGCTGKTTTTGCTTCAATGTTTTGAAGTCATTGAGCAGAAGAGGCTTAATATGGATCCCTAAGACGTTACCCAACTCTGGAGTTGCATTGAAGCTCTTACTGTAGATTTGCTTTTCAGTCACAATTGAGACTATAAACCAATGCCTTCAAAGCTATTTTTTCTGCAGGTTTTATTTTTTTCCAGCTAGTATAACTTTTTGAGGCTAGACAGTTGTRTCAGCTGCATGTCTATGCTTAGCCAGCTGGTGTCTTGGTAAACCAGCTCTAGGCCTATCCCTGCATGGCTGTCATTGTCTAGTAGGGTAGCCCCTACCTACCTATTCTCCAAATGCACAACATCACCCTATTTAGGTTCCACTTGAAAATAAAAGATCTTGAAAAAGCACTYAGTTGCTTCCTTCTTCTTCCATCTTGCCATACCTGCCTACAGAAYATTTAACTGCAGTTCACTTACATTCTTCTTGAAGAGTTAACYCTTTTGGCTTACTTCTCTTGCAGTGGCAATGATGGGGCTTGGGGACACCTTTTGGGACACTTGATACAGTTCAAGACTAGTGTTTCTCTCGATTTCATAAACTAACAACTATAAGGTTTTCATAGCAGCAGGGGCAGCCCCACCTCAAGCACTGTGTGCAGTTTYGGGTGCCACAAGTTACATCTATGTATTGTGGTAGAAAGTCTTTACTATCAATTGAAAGTTGATAATGTAATAAGCAAGAGTCACCRTTACTTATGATGCAAAACCTAAATTTAGCTTATTATTAAACACTGCTGAATAGTGATATTCCACAGGCTTCAGTTTGTTAATTGTACTGGTGTTTTTAAAATTATTTTTTAGGAACAGTTAGACAGTGAGAGCATGAAATTGAAGCAACTTGAGGACAAAAGCAATCAAAAGGAAAGGAAGCTTTTATCTATTATTTCCAGTCAAGATGATAAGATAAGAAATCTGAAAAGCAAATTGCATGAATTAAGTGAAGCACAAAAGGGTGTACAGATGCCAACGTATAAAAGGGAGGTAAGATAACAAACAAGTAGAGATAAAATTAAAAAGACAAACATTTGTAAATTATTACTTCTTTCAGATATGAAATGTTTGGAATTCATCCTAATTATTCTAATAAATTTATTTTAAATTTCAGCATTGTATAATTAGTAGGAAATTGTCAAAGTATATAAAGCACATAGGGAACACCATTAAATACATATTGGTTAGTTTGTATGTTAATTATCTTATGGTATGTCTTTAAATTTTCATATTTGTGAAAACTCCAGATTAGCACTTCTGGTTTATAATTTTCAGTTTGACGTTTTCACCAAGACTGAGTGGATTTTTTCATTTTTATGCCACCCTGTTTTTGTTCCAGAATAGCATCCAGGGTGCTATGGTGTTCCTGTGTGATAGCTAGAGTGCAGTCATTGATGTGAATCTGACCACATATACACGTCTTAGCTACCTGATTTAAAGGGARCACAGGTAAGGGTAGGAGCACAGCAACACGTAACTTGTTGCTAGTAGACTTCCTGGGCATTGCTTGACTTGCAGTGGCAAGCACTTGTATCCCGTGTTGTTGGGTGTAAGGCAGCTCAATGCATCTACACAAGCTGCAGTTGCATGTCAGCCCTGCAGGTAAGACACTACTGTAGGCTGTGGATCTGTGGCTATAAGCTATATCAGCTTATACAGATTTCTAAGCTTATACATCTTTGAAATGAGCTGATTTGGCAGGCATGCTCAAGTTCGTGTCTGACTTGGAGCACATATGAACTACCCAGGCCATCTGGTAATGTAGCTCTARTGGAACTGCAGCTTAATGACTGGTTATTATGAAACTTCCCTTAATGCCTGGCAGATGTAAAACTATGTAATACTGGAGTGAACCACACGGTGGTAGTCAAAGTTAATAACTTTTTTAAAAAACTGCTAGAACTCCTGACATATTAGCTTCCAACGTGTTCATTGAAATTTGCAGTGAATACATTAATTTTTAAGAGCTAAAATAGCTGCATAACAAGCTTACACAAAAGACAGAATCTTACCTTACTGAATCTTACCTGACTGAAAGAAAATTACAGTCAAGCAATATTCTTAAAACCAGTTCCCTTTCAAGAGAGTATGAGCAGAGAAATGCCACACGGAGTTGATAAGTTAAACTAAACGAGCTAGGAATTTCACACAAACTGCTTTTGTCATTTTGAGAGTGCTTTGAGAGCTTTCAACAGGACTAGGCAAAGGACCCCATGACGTTTTTATTCATATCAAGGTGAAGCGCAAAACTTAATATGCTAACATGCTCAATATTTTCATATTCTACTTCAAGGTGAAAAGTAAGAAAGTTGTTCCAGATAAGCCTGAATTATCTCTAGTGATTTCACCTATGTCTGAAAGGTAAATACTTCTACAGCACTTTTCAAATTTGCTTTTGTCTTTTATGCAATTAAGTAAGGCCAGCTGTTTCCCTCTTTTCTACACAACACCCTAACACTGGCTGGGTGGGGAGTTGGGAGGGGTGATATCAATGGTCAAAGAGCTAATGCAGGAAGCTAATAGAGACTGGAACGTGGAACCTTAGCTGGGGCTTTACGAGTATGTAAGGATAAGCTGGGAGGGAGAAAGAGAGCCACTCGGTTCAGCAGGAGGTTGACTCTGGGAAACAGCAGTGGATGTTAATGCTGGAGTTTGAATAAGCATCAACTGCCTTGCATTAACTCTTCTGGACAGGAATGTAGAGCCATAATGGATTAACTGATGACAACACAGCCTGCTGTGCTGCCAGGAAGAGGTCTTGATAGTCAGCATGAAGAARTAATTCTTGGCTGATCCATCCTAAATGAGAGAGTTTAAAATCAAGTTTATCTGCAAGCTGAAGCCAGCAAGCCCCTGCTATGACCAAGGGGTCAAAAGATTTCCTCTTCTGACAGTCATTTTGGAAAAATACTGACCAAAATCTTAGGTTTGCATTTCTTCTAGGATAGGCAGTAATGCCACTTTTAACAACTTTGCTAGGTCAGATAAAAGATTCTCTAAGGTGAAGTTAAGGGTGTATTAAGGAAAAGGATCATAAATTCTTACTGTCTTCTTATTCTCTTGCCTAGGCATCTGCTTTTGACCACTCCCAGAGATAGGCTAGATGAACTAAATGGTTCTTTAGTCTGGCTCACTACTCCTTTRTGATAAAAGAAAGAGGAAATAAGACTGTAATATGAGAAAGACTTGTTTGTCTTTTTGATTTATATCTAAAAAATGAAAAACCTTTACCTGTCTTCTGTCTCCCTGCCTCTAATAGCTTCCTTACTTTACTGTTTTCTTGGAAAGAGGTATGTGACTGGTAAGATTACTGGTAATCTTACACTGAAATAATATAGTATCACAAATATCTATCAAATAAGGACTGCTTCATCTAATCATATTATATTTTAAAGTTATGATTAGAAACTTCAATCTTTTTTTATTTCTTATTTATCAAAACATCTGAAAAATCATCAGAATGTGTTAACAGTAGCAATTTTAACTCCTTTTGTAGATTTTTTTGCAAATGAGATACAAAWAGACATTTGTGTCTTCAAAAAGAGAAACACAACAAGTAGGAACACAGTCTGATTGCTAAATGAATAAGCAACAAAAAAGGAAAACATTTCACTGGATTAAAGAAAAATCCCTTTGGACATCTTTTGATGAAAATATGCAAAATAGAACACAAATCCAACTTCACCTTTTCATCTTTGAAGTTCATTTTATAAAATCCATTATATTGTGCTTAAAAATATAAATTACTCAGCAAGTTTATCAAAATTTCACAAGGGAATTTTATGGATGCATCCATAACTAAATAACAGTGTCCTTGGGCAAATAAACACACCAGCATGAACTATTTTTACCATTCTCAGTGCAGATAACTAAATATCAGATTCCCATATGATACTCTGGAAAAGATACAATACAATGAGTTCCTTCAAAATAAAAAGTCATATGATATTGTATGAAACCAGAGGGAATGAGTTCACAAACTCCTCTCCAAAATGCCAGGTAGACAGAGAATGAAAGAGCAGTAACACATGTTTGTGTGCTCCTTCTTCTGCACTCTGAAGCGTACTGACAACAACAGAAAACAATTACTGTTCATAGCAGCAGCATCTTACTTTCCCTAGAATGAGGTGGAAACAATACCCTTCCACAAAATACCTGAAAGGCTGGATTTTTGGGGGTGTTCCTTGTAGGGTCAGTTCCTATGTTCAAATATATATGCATATGGTATGACAAAACAGCTCTTTGACAACATTTTCTTTTCTTTTTTTCTGCTTGCTTTTACTGAGAAGAACAAAAATATGTATACATAYGTTGAGGAACAAGATATCCAAGAAAAGTAGCTTATACTATTGTTTTTTCTCTGATTTGTGGGTGTGATTAGATTAAAGGTCACAACAAGTTGAATTGGTTGACTCTTTAATTTACAATTTTGTTCTTCCAGAGAGAATCCGGAGACTATTTTCCAGGACATGAAAGAAGAATGTCATCGAATATGTATGCTAGCCAGAGAACAAACAGACCAACTGAGTAAATTTAAGATAAAGCCAGAACCTGAAACTGGTAATATCATACTTAAGCTCTTATTGTGATTCAACTGTTTGAAAGCTTTGCTTTATATTTGAAAATACTGCAAATTGCACATACATAGAAGTACTTCCACTGTTTACCATCTGCCTTTTTCAAGTCTGTTCACATGGTGCTCAGTATTTCACCAAGAAAACGCACCGCCAGTTTTGGCATTCTATGACGAATGCTCCAAATCACATGCTATAAAAGACAGTCATCACATCAATGGCTCTTGTAATTGTTTTGTCCCTTGGAGTGAGAGGCAGGCACTTACTACATGTGATATCCCATCATACTGTGTGAATGACAGCTCTTGCTTGCTTTTAATTTAGCTGTCAGTTCAAAAGATGTCTGCAATGAATGCCTCTAGCCCTATATCTGTTAGAGGAAAACTGCCGGACTGAGGAGACTCAGAGGACTTGTTTTCTAGACTTTCTTGTGCGGAGTTTGAATACTGTTTTGTTGTATGGGACAAAAGCTTAATCCAGCACTTCCTGAAAACAAAGGGAAGGCTTGATTTTTGTTGAAACTATGAAAGATTCTGAATGCCCAGTTGTGCTAATGCTTACCTGTAGTATAATGTAAGCTACTMCGGGTATTCTCTGCTAGGTTTTCTTAATAGTAGGATCAGACTCTCATGTGATTTCAATAAACACCTGCCAAACTCACATAGTTGAAGCAAAAGATGCTGATTTCAGCACTTGATTTTAATTTAGGTCATCCATTACACGAAGTGCTGACGTGGATCTTGTTGCTTCACGTTGCTCTATGTGAACTGTATTTTGATATTCTGATTGTATGCTAATAACTTCATTGTTTGGGGGTGGAAATTTTGGAGGAAGTGTGTTTGGCAACTTACTTCAGAATGGTTTTGATTTCCGTAAAGAAGTGCCTAACTCAACTCTGTGAAAAGCTATACATGGCATAAGCTATACAGATGATAAAAGTGCTTAAGTGTGTAAAGGTATACATGACAAAAGCTATATAGATTAATGTTTGATTTGTTCTTTCTGTGTTCCACTTTACTACGCTATCTGATTGATGGCAGAAGGATGCTGTACAATCCATTTTTACTGAAGTTATTATCTCACCTGATTAGGAGTAATCATTACCATTTTTGTTAATATAATGCCAAAAATGAAGAGCAAATTTTCAAAACAAAGRGAAAATATGGTCCCATTTCTGAATAGTTGTTCAGTTTAAATATTTAACTAATTTGGAAACAAGTGGGAGTTTAGTACCTGAATACCTTCTAAAATCGTGCTCATGGTGCCTAGCATGTTCTTGGCACTGTGTGAAATGGTTTGGGTTCCAGCTTCTATTTCTGCCAGAACACTTCTGTAAATATGCAAGTATGTGTTAAGAGTATGGGACAACATAACTTTCAATAAGAGGAAAATGTTTATAGCCAAAAATCAAAGAGAAATATAATTACTAGAACAGAATTATTTCCTTTTATTTCTGTTCTGATAGTTTTTGTGTCAGAACTAATGTTTGTGAAAGAGAACTACACCTCAATCTGATTTTAAAGATAAAAAAATAACAGTTAGAAAAGCAGGGAAAAAAAAAAAAAAAAAAAAAAAAAAAAAAAAAAAAAAAAAAAAAAAAAAAAAAAAAAAAAAACAACCCAGTACCAAATTTTCAATAACTATACTTCAGTGGACTATTTAATGTTTTCTTCATTTTTTTCTTCACAGAAATACAGTTTTCCATGCCGATACAGTGCACTGATAAAACTGATGAACAAGCAGAAGAGCTTTTTAAGCCTCGGGTTATAAAGGATATAAATAGAGGTGCATCATGCATCACATCTATCACACCAAGAGGAGTGGGCCAAGATGAGGACAACAACTCTGTAGAATCACTTTCTAAATTTAATGTCAAGTTTCCACCTACAGACAATGACTCTGCTTTCTTGCAGAGCACTCAGGAAAAACCAACAGTTCCTTGTACTGGTATATCTGAAAACATGCTTCAAGATCATCATTTTAACCTGGAGCACAGAGACCATGCTGTTAACCTCAGTAAATTGGAACCTAAATCATTTGAAGCTCATGGCATTGATCTCATGACCTCAGCTTTACAAAGCTTAACTACTGTTGACAAAACAAACCTGCCAGATCATGTAAAGATGCCCATAGAAAATATCTGTGACAAACCATGTTTAAAAACAACAGACAGTGGTTTCACATTTGTACCTAAGCACACAAACCAGGGTGTACCTGAAGTAATTTTTCCTTTAGAAGCTGCTGGAACAACTGTCAGAGGTCCTCATCAGGTATCCTTCTATAAATACTCTACATTTCAAAAAATGGTAATGATTCAGACACACATTTTGCAAAGATCTTTGAAACTGGATTAATATATTCTATAAGATACCTCATCAGTCTTTTTTTAAGATAATATCTCTTTCTCATTCTAATACTGGAGAATGTGTACAACACGCTTTTTCAGTGAAACATCAGGAATGTAAGCAGAAAGAAGCACTGCATGCTTGTACAAATTTCAGTTCATCTAGATATTAATTGCTTCTATATCTGTTTCAAAGCTGTCATTAATCCTAAACTGCCCTCTAGATTGCTTTCTTTCTACCCTTGTTCTCAGTTGAATAGGGCACACATTTGTTTTAATTGTTTTTCATGTACAGCAGAGAATATGAAAAATGGACCAGGTAGAAAGCTAAATAGATAAATACTTCCACTATGAAAAAATAGCTACTTTTTGTCTCAATCTAAAGTATCAACAACACCCTATTCCTCTTCTCTAAGAAACTTAAATTTTTGTCATTGTAGGAAGAAAGTGTAATTATTTTTTTTTAATAAAGGAAAGTTCACTACATTAATTTATTTTAGGTTTATGTAGGTAATTTGAACTTAAATTTCAGTTATAGCCTGAAGTCCACGGGCAATATTGAAAACAAGGCCCAGTTGCTGTATAATGCAGARAAACATTTTGGCATGTTCTGACACTCACATCTCTGAATACTTTGCTTCTTTTGCGTAACATCCTATGTCAGCTGGAAGCTGGCAAAATTATGGAGCTTTATAGACTGATTTTATGTTTGTTTTTTTGTTCCTGAGTTTTTTCTTCTTTCTTGTGAAAGGAGGGATTTTCAAGGATAATCAAATAGTGATAAATAGGAATTCTCTGAGGGTGGAATTCACGTATTTTTACTGTTTGCATGGATGAAGTTAYGTGTTCTTTCCTAATGACAAGGTACATGCAGCAGAAGAGCTTTACCTCTCCATTTGGTCACTGCATGACATGYGAAACTAGTATTTGGAAAGTGTTTGTAGGACATGATAGCTTTAATGTTTTTTTCTCCTAAAACTTACCCAGTCTAGTTTAATTTTATATTGCAAACCACTTTTGAGTGAAAATTTTAAGCACTGAAAGTTTGCTGTTTTAAATTATTAGCTTGATTTTTTTCAAAAGCTCTTTCAAATATCTATTTGTAATGTGGGAGATATCAATTCTATACCAAATTATTAACTGTAGTTTTTATTGTATTTTTCATTGGGTCCTCAGTTAAAGTTGTGACTACATTAAACAAATTAACGTATTTATTTCATTGCTAGTAGAATTCCTGTGGAACTGTGAAGCATTCACTCCACTGCTTGTTACTATCCTCTTTTTCTGTATTCCCTCTCCAGCCTGTTCTTTTACTAGTTAGTCTATGTATTCATTTTTCAATAGATGGCACCCTGCATTGTACTTTATAGCAAGTGAAACAGCTGGTATATGGTTATAAATTGTTAGGAGAGTATGCAGCTTAAAAAATAAAGAACAGTGGTTGAATAGCAATAAGCCTTAGACCACTGGTAGTTCTGCAAAATAAGGAAATCAATTTGGAGCCAGCATTTAAAATGTGAATTATGTATTTTTTGGAGAAAAAAAATGTACTAATGCTAACACTCAGATAAAAAGAAAGCTAATGGTGAACTGTTTCAGTATTTGAAAGTCATATCTACAATAGCACTGCATTGATTAACTTTTTTTTTTTTTTATCCAGAAGCTAGTTTGAAACAAGCCAGTATTACTTTACAATCCATTAAACATACATCTGCGTGTATCATATTTAAATATCCATCACCTTTATTCAGCTGCCTTCAAAATAGGTCGTTAAATATTTTTCCCAATTAACTGGACTCATCTCTAGAGGTTTTTTCTGACTGTAAATTGTGCTAGAAATTTGATTCACATATATTATGTATGTAGATTAAAGTACTAATTTTTTTAAGTACTTGTATACATGCCCTTTTCACTGTGTTAACCTTAGCAAAATTTATGCATAAACTCGTTCTTAGTATTTTTACCACCTTTCTAAGGGGTGGTTATGCTGCTTACAGCTTCTATCATCCCTTAMAAAAATGAAAGAAGAGCCAAAAAGGAAAGAATTATATACCTCTCTTTTTTTTCTCTAGTGTGGATAAAACTTTCAAGTATTTACTACATATGTTAACTTATAAAATGGAAAACCCCATAAATGCAATAGATTTGGCAACAGTAAGTTCTTGGAACTGCTCTCAGTTGGTGTAATAAATTTAGCTCTTTCCTTCTATGTGGATACTAAAGCTAAAAACTCAGTACTGTTTTCTTAGAATGTAACTTTAAAAAAAAAAGTGACTGAAAAGAGCAGCAGATTAAAATAAACATAGATATTAGTGAACCTAGGATTTTACAGACTACATTTAGCTGAGACTTCCATATAAATGCACACGTTTATTGGTATTTGCATTTTGAGGGAGTTGTTTCCACCAAAAATTCTTCTAAATATGTTCATGATTTTACAAGCAAGTCAGTAGTCTATTAATCTGAAGATTTATTAATGTTTTTGAAATTGAATGTCTGCTTAAATAGATCCCTGTTCTGACAAGGATATTAAGCACAAGTTTAGCACTCAAGAAATGGAAGTTAAATGCCTGCATGTGTGGGTTGCTGGATGAGTACTTCCCCTTGTTTTGTTTCTGAGATGACAAATAGTTTTTACAATAATATTTTATCTTCTTTTTTTCAAACAGTGCTTTACATCATATCAGAAACAATTAATTCCAAACACATTTATGTAGTGTGTTTAAGTTAACTTGTTTAAGTGTGCCACTGTCTAGATAGATTTAATATGCAATTTACACCAGCAACATACAATAAGTAGACTCTTTGAGATGAAAAAGTGGTGTGATTGCACTTAATTACTAATTAGTCAATTTAATTATATGGATTGCTGACCATAATGAAAGACAGTAAATCTGCTATTGCTATGTGATAAGCTAAACACTGTTTAAATACAGAATGGGCAGGAAATTGACTCCCAAGAAGTTCAGGGTGGTTTACAAAGGTTTAACCGCTATGAAAGCCAGCTTAGTTGTACAGTGAGTTACCATGGGAGAAACAAATAATAGATTCTAACTATCTGGCATGATAAAATTTGAACAAGAGCTGAAAATTAAAAATCTCGGGTAAGTTTCAGTAGCAAGAAATTTAAAACTTCTAAAGAAACTACTTTGTAAAGCATTCTTGATTGCCTTTTCATGTTTGAGTGAAGCAAGAGGAAAAACTGAGCCAAAAAAAAACCCTGTAGGGTGYTCTCTCTTCTAAGTTCCATCCCCATACAAAGCTCATACCAGCTTCCTGCCATTCTTTCCACTTTGTAGTCACAGCAGTATGCATTTGGTTTTCAATTTACTCAAAACCTGATTGCCCTGGCCACATAACTATTTGGTCTTGCGTTGCTAATATTAAAGTTATGAAACTTAAATTTTAACTTTACTTTGAAAACTGATAAAAGACTTTTTGTTTCCTAGTTCATTCTAAATAGTGTACACTTAGAYTCTGGGCTTAAGTGCCTTGAATTCCACTGTCGAATAAACTGACTTGTTGCCTTTAAACTAACTAGCTCAGGGACCAAGAGCAGTGCAGCTGCTGAATCAAATAGAACGGAGCTCACAGAAYTGCCTGAATGCATGGGTAGATATTCACAAGGTCCCTGTGAGTTTGACGCTGTCATGGCAAAAGGAATCCCAAACAAGATTATTTGTGACACATTTATACTAAAAAGCAACCAGAGCAAATACATACCTTAAGCCATGTCACTGATGTAGTCATTTCGGAAGTAAACTGAAAATTAGTTATATGCCAATAAGAATGGAAATAAAATCTGAATCATATTATCTCTGTACAAGAAACATCTAAGATAAAAATGTGTTTTCTCATTTTTGCTAAATGGCTATTGTGCACTATGACTTCTACAGTAATACACTGAAGTACAAAGTTAAAGAAAAGCTTTAGGATGTACCAGACTGATATTACAGACTTCTGCTCTTAGCAGTATTTATTGTTAATCGATACCAAGATATTTTAAAATATTTGCAAGGATAGTGTGTTTATAGAACTTTAAAAAAACAAAGTCCTGTCTTGCTTTTCTTAAGGGAGAACTCTCTCTAGTTAAAGTCTTTGGCCAGGCAGGAGTAAAGGAATCCTAGTTTAAAACAGGCAGGTATTTTTTTTTAATATAAACTATGGCATAATATAAACCACATTGTAAACCTCAGCAATAATAATTTTCTGTTTCTTTTAGCTCATTTGGCAGCCTCAAGACAATAATTTGCTGGCACAAGCATATGCAGACTCTGAACTGAATCAGTGTGGAATATGTGAATTCTGTCGAGAAGTTTTCCCACCATCTCTAACATCTAAGGAAGATTTTCTTCGGCATCTCAATTCCCACTTTAAAGTACAGTCTTAATGTATGAGAATTCAATGGTTCACTGTTTTTGCATACATTTATACATTTTCTTTATTCAATAGATAKGATAAGAGTTTAAGAATTAAGACTTCTTGTTACAAGAACTCAAGACTGAAATTGTTTGTGAGATAAGTACATTTTTAGTTGTCTTTTGACAAGCCAAAATGAAACTCACTCAGTACTGTAATTCACATTTTTATTTGTTATGCTTCACTATTAACTTGGAGAGTGATGTCACTTTTATTTTACCAATTAATCTTTGCCTGAATAGGCCTGAAGTTGTGGTTATATTTATGAATGTAGACTTKCAGGATTAATGCCTTAATCTGACTGGCAAAAACTGGTGTAATGCTGGGATTTTTTTTTACAATATCCAGTGATGAGTTTATGTTCTTCTTAAAGTAAACAGGAGGGGAAGTAGGCCTTCATTTTTCATTTATATTGTTTAATTTCCAAATTTAACTTACAATAGTGAACCCCTTAATTCACATTCTTGTGAAATTATCGCAATAGCTGATATCCAGGTGTGCCAGAATGAGGATAGGCTTGTTCACTAGTAACATAAATGCATAATTGACTTTCCCAGATGAATTTTTTWCTGAAGAGAGTTTTCAAAAGCAACACCTAAATGACCCTTTTGCCAAAAGGAAACAGCAGTGATTTTATAAATTTATGTTACATGTTATTAAAAAAAAAAACTTGTTCACATACCTTTATAGCATTAATAATTACTAAAAATGCTTTCAGGAAACAGGTTATATTCRTATGAAGGATAGAAAAGGTTAAACTTTCCGCAAAACTCATAATACCAAAGATTATTTGCCTTCCCTTCTGGTCTGCTGTGTTGGTTGCCCAAGTCTGGTACAGACTAGAAAGGAAAGGAGAAAACCTAATCACCCAAATCTCAGTAACTTTATTTTTAACCTGAATATACTTAGTGGCTTTCTCAATGCAATTAAAATTTGTGTTTAGTTGAAACATTGCAGTCTGATAAAGTTTGCACATTTTCTGGATTTACTGATATCAAATTTAAAAATAGGGGTGTTGCCAAGTATTTTAAATTAACGATAAAGGGTGCTTGCTTTTTGCATTTGAACTGAATATAGAGTTTAGTCCTGATGTTGATAATTAGCATTAATATTTTCATAGCAGCAAAGCACAACACTTTTTCTTTTTAAAGACTTGATTGCAGGTGACAAATTTCTGGAAGAATTAACACCTGCGTAATTTTTAGAAATGGATTTTTCTGCAATTATTTTCTCTATTTTAATCATGTCATGTTTGTGACGGGCTGTCAGCGGAGCGTACTGTAATAAACAGCCGTGTACAGTGCATGTCTGCTGCATGACCTGGAGGAAGAGTTTGTTATATTCGGAGCTCTGGAGCCTCGGCGCTCCGCAGCGCTGGAGAGGCGATGTTCGGCCGCGGCCGCGCCGTGCGGTGTGTGAGGAACCTCCCCGGAGAGCACGGCTGGGGGTGGTGCCGGGAGAGACACAGGGTCCAGGCTTGGGAGGAGAGAAGGGGATTCGCACATCTCCAGCCAGCTCGACACACAGCACCGACTYGTCCTCTCAGCCGTGAAACTCGGGCTCAGGAGCTCACGTTATTAAGAAATGGACAAACTGCGAATCACCTTTGAAGAAAATAAAGTCATCTGTTTCTCCCCCCCTCGCCCCCACGCGTGGATACATCTTTCCCTGGAGCCCTTGAGCTGGCAGAGCCGGGAGCCCAGCGCCGAGCCCGAGTCCCCGCGTGGGGACAGCTCTTTGTYGCTGGAGGCAGCCTGGGGTCCCCCGCAGCCAGGACACAGCGGGGAGGGAGGCAGGAGGTGGGGGGAACACGGTTGACCAAAGTCTTGTCGACCGGCAGAACCCATCCATCTCCCACTGTGAGGGTTCCTGCCTAGTGCCGCGTTTTAGGAAGCTGTTTAATCTTGCGTGCGTAAAACTGTTGCTGCCTGAGGGCATCCAGATAGGCTMACCGATCAGACCACTGCGAGGGGCACCAGTTTAGTTCTTAATAAATARAAATAAATAAATAAATCTCACGCTAAGCAGTTGCGAGCGACTSGAAGCGGGAGGCGAGTGCGGTCCCTGAATGGGCCCCACTTATGCAGCTTTCCTGGAGGAGGCTGCTGCTGCCAGCAGGGACATCTGCTTTATTACACTCACCAGAGGAGGCTCAGYATTCCTCCCCTTCCCTCCCTTTTCCACACGAGCTCAACTCAGCAGAGGAGGTTGAATCCAAATGGGAAGTAGAATGTCATTAAAAATAATAAATATGGTGGAAGGAACTTGAGAGGACAGGAAGAGCAGCAAACTCGTGCCAAGGTGTACTACCGAATTCCTCYTGTGCCAGGGCCAGCGGAGCCCCCCCCTTCCCCGGGGCAGCCCCGGGGCTGGAGCAGTTTCAGGGCTCCGTACGAGCTCACTTGTCACCCCGCCCCGCGCTGACGGTGCGCGACGCGTGAACCCCCCATGCTCACAGCCAGCGTTCGCGGCAGCGCTCGCAAGGAAACAAACTGCTCCCGCTTCCTATCGGGAGCTCTCTGAGGGACACTGCGGCGGCACGGCTGCCTCAGCCTGCTGCGAGGGCTCGGTGCCGGCGGCCGGCTAGAACACATGTAGCTCCTCTGTCTCTCCGGTTAACTCGACAKCTGCTCGTAGCTCCAGTAATTAGACTGTCAGTGCTTGTTAGAGGAGAGGAAAACGCTCCTCTGACAGATTCCACGAGTCCTGTTTTTTAAAATCTCGCAGAAATCACCAGAGCATTAACTGAGATCTTTTATTTCTCTAGAATCCGAAGAAGTTCCCTCTGCCATCTCGCACTCCAATCAGATCTCTCTTCCGACTCCCATGAAGCAGTGAATTCGCTCTAAGAGGCTGAGGAAGTTACCTTCCTTCCCCTGCCCACCCGGGAGGAASAGGGAGCTTCCTGGCCTTGTGAACATACTTTTAAAATCCCCTCCCCGGATGGCCTTATTTTACCAGTTAATAGAATGCAGTCTTTTCTCCATTAACTGAGTGGAGGAGTCGCTCAACACACGATCCTTCCCCATCAAATATATTATTAATTCAGAGAATGCTCGGGAGAGGTTGTTCCCCCTTACGAACAAAAGCACTGGAGGATCAGGCCGGGATGCTTCTACCCCCACCCATGGTTCACTCAGCAGATGAAATTCAGAGGAGGCGATTTCTTCCCCTCCCTACCGTATATTCCCTTTTCCCCCGCAATCATACAAGGTTAACTCAACAGAGGAGTCTCAATCCAAATGGCAACTGGGATTGCATTTAAAAAAAAAAAAAAAAAAAAAAAAAAAAAAAAAAAAAAAAAAAAAAAAAAAAAAAAAAAAAAGAAAAAAAAACGGAAGGGGGAGAAAAAATCAGAAATAGGGAAAGAAAAGAGAAAAAGCAGCAGGCTGATTACGAGGTGTCAAAACTGCCAGGAGCAAGAAGGTGATAGCAATCAGGGGTGAGAAGAGTGCGCCATTCGTGCGGGGCAGCTAATTATCCGTCTCATTTGAGAAGAGCAGCATTCGAGGCAGCAGCGTTCGCCTGCTGAACGGTGACAGATTGGCGCGGAGGAGAGGGGAGGTGTTAAAACAATGGAGCCGGGCTTGCGAGCGCTGCTGCATGCTAATCAGCCCGGCCTCCTTCCTTCCTTCCCTCCGCCTGCCTGCCTGCCGCGATCCCTCCTTCTCGCTGGCCGCATGGCAAGCCCAGCGCTACCCGGCCCCTCTGCAGCAGGCGGCACCGCACCCGGCATAGGTGGTAACCCAGGGAGAGTTCCAGCGGGACCGCGCAGCGGGGCTGGCGGCACCCGGGGGACCTGGCAGGCTGCTGGGTATCAGTGSTACATTTCAGAGCTCGCCCTTGGCCCCGGGCTGCCAGGAGCYCGTCAGGGCGCTCCCCGCAAGGGCAGAGGCGAGGAGCTCTTGGTACGAGTCCTGTGGGCTGACCTCCCGAGCCCTGCTCCCGCACAGCCCAGGCCACAGCCGGCAGCGCAGCAGGTTGCCCAGAGAGAGACAATCTACTGCCGCACCCCAGACCAGACCCGCAGAGGTGAGGCAAGTGCAGAGCTATGCCAATCACTGACGGATTCCAGGGGCTCCACTGCCCTCYCAGCTCTGCACGGGAACTGGAGTCCGGAATGCTAAACATGCATTAAGCAAGTGGTATGGCCTCTCCTCTGCCACTGCCTTTTGCCTCTCGGATTGCTTGGMCTTGCAAGCCTGAGTGACTCTATGTACACAGCGTGTGCCTTGCGAGGAGGTACTTAAAAGGTCTGGCCCTCTCTCGGACCAGGAACAAGCGTTCTCTTTCACAAACAGTGCTACAGGGTCTGCAGAGACAGCAGAAATGCTTTCTGAGGGATCTCTTTGGCCCTAGCTTTCCCAGAAAGTCCATGCTCTGCAGGACTCACAGGGCAAACTCCAGGGCTGAAGCTTTAGCAGCCCAGCTACAGTAAGTGATCCGCTCTGCCAGGGAGAAGCAGAGGAATGAGCGTTGGAATGTTTACTCTCCAATATTTCTCAGTTTCCATTCCATCCTGCCCTGAAAGATTTTTGATTACTATACACTTCAAAATAGTATTTATTACAGATTTACATAATCTGTATGTTTTATGTTAAGGCAATAACACATTGATGCTGTACTACTGAAAGGAGTTAATCTAAACTATGTAGTGTCTGCTATAACAGAATTCCAACTAAAACATATCCTTGCTTGCTGGCACTGACAAGTAACACTTATCCAGAAGGACATTGCCCAGCACATTAGGTAAACTGCCAGGTGAAGCCATTGCTCAACTCCTGCACCTTCACTGGGTTATGGATCAGCACTTGGCCAAATTAAATGATGTAAGTCTGTGTGTAACCTCACATTTAATTTAACAAATGTTATTTCAAATAGCATGTGCCTGGTTTACAGCAGGATTCATGGGGATAAGAAAACTGAAAGGGAATAAACTGCTTTAGGCCTGAGGTAAGCAGCATGWTAACTCAGGTTGAATGCTATTTAAAATAGATTTGAGTGCATGTACGGCTAGGCGGTAGTAATAGMGTTTAAATTTTATTATTCTAAGTCTGTCGTTGAGTGTACTTGATGAGATTGTCCATGAGCATACAGATGGTGAGATTTTCATGCTTCTGTGGCATACTGACATCTCAGGCTGTAAAAATAAATTCCCAGATCGCTGTAATACCTAAGAAATAGAAAAATGCAGTCCACCTTAATGCTCTACATTTGAGTGCTTTATGTTTTAAAAGATTTTATATACTAGATACACAAGCTTGTGCATATCAGGAAGACATGTACAGTATAAAGCAAAATTCRAGATAAACTCTGTGCCTTTTTTTATGTGCTTCTGAATTTAGAGATATGGGGGGGTGGAGATAAAAACTTGCCTTTGCTATTATCTGTATTTTTTTAACTGTATGTAAGGATAAAAGGCAGAAATAAGTTTTCATTAAGTCAAATTTACTTTCCATTAAAAGATTCTTGGATTGTTTTCTTGATTTCACATATTTTTTCAAGCTGGAAACTTATTATTATATCTATTTTGATGATTTATGCTGCACTAAAAAGGTATTTGGATCAAAGATRAATGCTGAGATATCTTCTCAAATATAATAACTTTTTTTCTGCCTAAGAAGCCATAGTGTGGAGCAATCCATGCATCAGCCTGTTCAGCCTGGAAACCAACACTGATATTGCTCATAAATATCCAGGGTAAGGCATCCCTATTGGTTACTGCCTGGCCGCAGACAAGGTGCTGYGCTTATCCAGGTTTCTGAACTGACTGAATTAAAATTTTAAATAGAAATATATAGCAGGGTGATATGGTGTAAACGAGCTAAAAGAAAAACGTTTTGCAGAGACAAGTACATAGTTTAAAAAGGTTTAAAATATTCAATTGGTGTAAAAAATAACTACTTGTAAAAACGTGTGTATTTTCATTATGCTTAATTTGCCATTCAAAACAAGTTTTTCTTAATAAGCGCTATTGTTTCTATCTGTTTTGTGAAATGTAATACGTGTGAGACAGAAAGCAGACTCGGAATGTGAATGAGTCTTGTTTTCTCTTTCTTTCTTTCGTTTTTAAAATACAACTTTATTCATATTCACAGGGATCTTTAAGTTGAGAAAAGGATTAATGGAAATGGCATGACACTCCTGAGGTCATGATCTGAAAAGATGAAACATGAAATCCTATCTGCTTCTCTTTTCCTATATCTTATTTGCGTGCAATAGAAAAGTCTCCATAAGCAAAACACTCTATAGTTAATAGTTATGTTTTCGCTCTCAGCGGTGACACAAGCTTTGTCAGGTTTTCGCTGTTTGTATAGTTCATTAA